GGGTGCCATCTGAGGTCTTTGCTTACTGCTACCCTCTGCTCTCTGATTTCACCTCTCTCCATCTCACCTGGGGCAAACTGACCTGAATTAACGTCTGATATTCTGGGTGCTCTTGGTTCCTGACGAGGCTGCCTCCTCGCATCTTCTAACTTTCTCCCTCGCCTCCCGCTTGTCATTTTAGCGTAGCCTCCGCCTTGCACTCCGACAACCATGACCGCTATGAGCGCCTCACTTCCGTCTCCAGCTCTGTGGACTTCGACCAGAGGGACAACGTGAGTAGCAGCAAGAGTCAAACACCTTGCCTTTGAGTGGCCAGGAGCCCACAGCTTGTCTGAACCAAGGGTTCTTAAGAAGCAACACTGTTTGCCCATCCTCAGGCCTCAGGTCCCACACCTTTGGTAGTGTGTGAGTGTGGTGTAGAGCTCAAGGAGACATAACTACATGGCTTCTAAGCATGTGCTTAAATAAGTAGGCTGTACATCCCTGTGGCTTCATGGACATCTGTCCAACCTATCATCTCAGCATTACAAACCACAATTGCCAGGAGAAAGGTGTCTGGCTCCTCCTCACACCACTGCTTACCTCTGCTGCTGTTTTCCTCTCTAAAGGGGAGGCACAGTTCAGTAGGACAACAGGGTGTGAGAGATGGGTGGTGAAGCTCCCAGGAGACATTCTTCCTGCAGCTGTTCTTTGAGGAGCACTGGCTTGGCCCATTCTGCCTTCCCAGTCCCTGCAGAGCTCCTCCTGTCCAGGACAATGGCTGAAGTACCTGTATGCTGAATTTTCTGGGTGTGCCTAGGCTGTGGAGAGCTTCTGTGCTGGCCAGGAGCCCATGGGTAGCCTGGGAGGCTGAGCTGCCAGTTGGTAGGGGACAGCCACGTGGTAGAGTCCAGCCTGTGTTGTGCCCTGCGGAGTAGCACTGTCATCTCCTTCACCTGGGCCCATTCATGGCTCTGCATGTCTGAGTGCTCGTGGTCTGTCCCCCTGAGCCAAGTCTGTGGAGGTGCAAGAACACCAGCCTGGTCCCCTGAGCCTTTGAAGGAGGGAGCAGGGAAAAGGGAGCACAGAATGACGTGAGACCCTCCTGTCTTCTTTCTGCACAGGGTTTCTGCTCCTGGCTGACAGCCATCTTCAGGATAAAGTAAGTGCCCCAGGACCTGCACAGGGGACCCACATGGGGAAGAAGCAGAGGTAGTGCAGGGTGTTGGGACACCCAGCACAGTACAGCTGCACGAAGTCACTGCCCTTGCTGCAGGCCCTTCTCTGAAGAGCACAAGCAAAGTGTGTCCTCTGGAGAGGACAAGCAAAGACAGGACTAGATGAGGAGTCCTCAAGCCAAAACTAAGGTCACACAGTGAGCCTGTGACAGAGAAGAACCCCCAGCCCAGGTCTCCACTGCCTCAGTCCCATCTCAGAAACACTGATCGCTGCTCTGCAGAGATGCTCCTCTCCTTGGGACTCCTGCTAGGGGCACTGCTGTCTGCGGAATGACTACGAAGGGGGGACCGGAGGATGCAGGGAGACACCCCCAGCCTGATGATGCTCAGGAGCAGTCTCCTAAGCACTACTGGGCTTCAGAGTGCTGTGGGACAGTGTCAGCCATCCTGTATCTCAGCAGGGGAGGCAAGGCCCACCAGAAGGGTGTGAGGTGGGGTTTGCATGTGTCCAGCTGCCTGTCCTGGGAGGCAGAGGGCAGGGGCGTGGGGAGTGAGGCTGCAGGAAGCATTGCACAGGCAGGTTTCTGCCCAGGCTGGTTCAAGGCTGGGTGCTGAGCTCCATACCCTGGGGCCTGGTCACAGCTCTGTAGGGTGCTACCAGGGGTGCTGTGTGGGCTCAAACCAGGAGGGCAGCCATGACCCTTTGCGTTTCGCTGGCGCTTGAAGGAATGTAGAAGATTGCCTGACTGCTTTTCTCTCCTCGGCAGGGATGACGAGATCCGGGACAAGTGTGGGGGCGATGCGGTGCACTACCTGTCCTTCCAGAGGCACATCATTGGGTTGCTGGTGGCCGTGGGTGTGCTCTCCGTGGGCATCGTGTTACCTGTCAACTTCTCAGGGGACCTGCTAGGTGAGAGCAGGGAGCCTCTGGCCGGACTGGGGAAGCAGCTTTCAATGACATGGCCCAGACCACTGGGGAGTAGTGAAGGGCAGGACGGGACTAACACAGACAAACCATGACTCCTGTCCAACTTTGAGCATGGGTCATCTTGGGCAGCTTGGGTTTTAGGGTGTTTTGCAGGTGAGATTCCTGCCATACCCGCTCCAGTGGTGCTGTGTGCCCCTCAGCATAACTGAACGTGCCTGTATCTGCTTCTTTCTCCCTAGAAAACAACGCCTACAGCTTTGGGAGGACAACTATTGCTAACCTGAATTCTGGGTATGTGTGGGCAGGGGTGGGATGGATAATTGAGCCCCTCAGGAGGGTATTTTGTAAATGTCCACTTGCAGCAGAGCCTCACCTCCTTGAAGGCTGCATTTCTGCCCTCGCTGTGAGGCTACTGTTACTGCTCCAGTTTCCAGGCTGAGCTCTCGGAATTTGGTTGTAGGGCATGTGGGTGCCGTGCTGCTCATGGCCCCGGCACCTTCAGGGCCTGGCCAGTCATATACAGGGTTGTAGCGGCAACCTTGTGTTGGCCTTTGTGGTCTCCCTTGTGACAGGAATAACCTGCTGTGGCTGCACACGTCTTTTGCCTTCCTGTACCTGCTGCTGACGGTGTACAGCATGCGACGGCACACCTCCAAGATGCGCTACAAAGAGGATGACTTGGTGAGCAGGATCTGGCCGCTCTCCCAGGCACATTTTCCCATGCTCTCCTGTCAAGTCAGGTGGCCTTGGAGAGGGTGCCAAGCACCCCACTTCCCACAGCAATTTGAGGCTGTCTTGTTTTGGCTGGTCTTTTGTTCTGTCTGGCCAAAGGCAGATCTCCTCCAGAGCAGCAGTCCTGACTGCCTGTGGGGAAACGAGAGGGGCCTGCGCTGGGTGAATGTGTAGAGGAACCCCATGCCTTCCTCAGGGGTTGCTCCAGCTGCTTTTGCCTTCCTCATTTCTTAAGGGTACCCACTGTTTCTGTTCAGGCAGCTGCAATGTAGGCCCCCAGCCTGTCGATCTGCAGTGCACCAGGATGCAGGGTGCCAACAGCTAGTGGAAGCATAGGAGAGGGGGAGCCCTGGGTACTAGAAGTGTAGGGACTGCCCTTTCCCATCGGATCTCAAGCCTTGGGGGTTTTTGCTGCACTCTGGTCTTTCACATCATCCACACCTACCTGCCCCCTCCTTTTTGTTTTTTTTTCTTCCTTCCTTCAGGTTAAGCGAACTCTCTTCATCAATGGGATCTCAAAATATGCTGAGCCAGAGAAGATCAAGAAGCATTTTGAGTGAGTCTCACTGCATCTCTAATTAAAGGCTGCTCTGTAATAGGGATGTTTTTATTGGGGTAGTGCTAGTGTTACCTGAAGCAGCAATAATACATTGAGAGCAGAAAGCTAGTCAAAATCGGTGAACACTCTTATTTTAGGCATCTCAGTATTACTTTTCTGTGCAAATTTTTATCTAAATATGCAGTGTCCTTGGTTTGTGCCTTGGGTTATGCCCAGCTATCTCTTGGGGAGCCACAGGGGTCAGCGTGGTACGTAGTGGACAGAGCATGTCCTGAGATGTAGTCAAGTTCAGAGATTGGGATGCAGGCAGGAGGCCCTCAAGCAACGACTGTGGGATTTTGTGCTGCTGCTTCTGCCCTGATCATGGTCCTTGTAGAAAAGTGAATTTTTCTTTTTAACATAAAAAAAAAAGTCCTCTTCCATCAGGACCTCTGTCCTGATGAACACACTGTCGGGGCCATGTTTAGAAGCACCATGGGGAAAGGAGAAATGCTTTGTACTCTTTGGGAAGCCTTCTGCCTCTTTCTGACCCCAAGCCCTGTGGCCCATGAAGGCAGAGAGGGGTTATAGGGTCAGAGGGGTGCCTTGCTTGCCACAGGGCGAAGTCTGAAGAGGCTCCTTGTGCCAGAGCCCAGAGGATGTAGTGTTTTCCCCATGCATTGCTCCCTCTATAAGGGACAGCCTGTAGGCTCCCATGATGCCCCCAGCAAGCTCTTGCTGTGCATCATGACGCTCAGCCTGGGGCAGGACAGAAGTCCTGGACATGTGGGTTTTGCTTGAGGGTACAGTCTTTGGTGCTGGGTGTGATCAGCTGGTGCTTCCTGTCCACAGGGAGGCCTACGCCAACTGCACCGTCCTGGAGGCCCGTCCCTGTTATGATGTGGCCCGGCTGATGTTCCTCGATGCGGAGAGGTAACCCCTGGTTTGAGAGGGAGGGCAGGGTGGACCAATGCCGCAGGCTTACCCTCAAGTCTGATGACACGGGAGCTTTTTCTGAGCCACTGTCTTTCTTTCTTTCCTTCCTTCTCTTCCTCTCTCCTGTTTCAGGAAGAAAGCTGAGCGTGGGCGAATCTACTTCACCAACCTGCAGAGCAAGGAGAACACACCGTCCATGATCAACCCCAAGCCCTGTGGCCACCTGTGCTGCTGTGTCATCAGGGGCTGTGAGGAGGTGGGAGAGCTGGAGCTGTTGGGCAGAGGGGCGCACAGGGGCTCAGGTCTCCAGGTCTCTGCTCTGACCCCTGTCCCCCTGCCCAGGTGGAGGCCATCGAGTACTACACCAAGCTGGAGGAGAAGCTCAAAGATGACTACAAGCGGGAGAAGGAGAAGGTGAATGAGAAGCCTCTGGGGATGGCCTTTGTCACCTTCCACAATGAAACCATCACAGCCATGTGAGTGCAAAGGATGCTGTCTTTCCCTGGAGGGTGACCTCTTGCAGCTCTCCCCTTAAATCAGAGCAATGCCAACACTAAGGCATCCCCCCTTGCTTGTCCCTGCAAGCCCTCTGTGTCAGCATCTCCCTCTCTCTTTTCTTCTCCAGAATCCTCAAAGACTTCAATGCTTGCAAGTGTCAGGGCTGTGCATGCCGTGGGGAGCCCAGGGCCTCCTCCTGCAGTGAGTCCCTCCACGTCTCCAACTGGACTGTCAGCTACGCCCCTGACCCACAGAACATCTACTGGTAAGCAGCTCTGTGGGGCTCAGCGGGCCCTGCCGATGCAAAAGGAGCACATCCTCCCTGTTTCCCTCCCCATCTGCTCCTCTGGTAACTGAATGAGTTGTTCTTGCTGAAGCCCAGCCTGGCTGAGCTAGAGGTCTGATCTGACTTGGAGGGGAAAAGCCTTGGGCTGGTGCCCCAAGTGCTGTTCACACAGCCTGGGCCATATTGTGAATATGAGGCCCTGGACCTGCCCTTCTCCCCCATGCAACCATTCTGATGCCCTCCTTCCCTGCCAGGGAACATCTCTCCATCCGGGGCTTCATCTGGTGGATCCGCTGCCTGGTGATCAACGTGGTCCTCTTCATCCTCCTCTTCTTCCTCACCACCCCTGCTATCATCATCACCACTATGGACAAGTTCAATGTCACCAAGCCCGTGGAGTACCTCAATGTAAGGCCTTCAGAGAGGGGTGCAGGTTGGGTAGCATGGGAACTGTCCCGAGACACAACAGCCCCTGCAAGGGAGGGGGTAACGAGAGAGATTGTCAGCGTTCCCCAGGTCCTGTCAGCCTGACCGGGAGGGAGGTGCTGAGCCTGGTCAGGATGCAGTGGCAGCCGCGGTGCTGGGGGCTCAGCATCAGCAAAAGCAGCTGTACCTCTGGCTGGCGCAAGAGCTGCCGCACCGTGTAACATGCGGTCTCTTCTCTGCCTTGTTGCAGAACCCCATCATCACCCAGTTCTTCCCCACCCTGTTGCTGTGGTGCTTCTCTGCTCTGCTGCCCACCATTGTGTATTACTCTGCCTTCTTCGAAGCGCACTGGACGAGGTAAGGACAGCCAGCGCCTGTTCTTAGTCATACCAGCATGCTGCCTGGCCACTAGACACTTCTCACTGATGTAAAGGTCCTGGCTGGATCCTTCTGCTTGAACTCCTGTCTTCCACTCCAAGCGTTGCACCTCTTGGACACCTGGGGTCTGCCATGGACAGCTATTCTGCCAATCCTTAGCTGCCGTTGTGCAGCATGGTTGCCTAAGCAGAGCTTGACATATGCCTACAAGAAGAAAGCAGGGAGGAGTTGGGGCTGGTCACTGTAAGAAATGCTAGTAGTGAGGGAAATCTTGGCTCAGGTGAGCAGGCAGGGGTGGTGTACGTGTACCCATGTGTAAGTCATAGCTTTTCTAAGGGAAAATCGCCTTACTGCTATGGCTTCTGGCCATAGGGAAGGTATTTAAAATGCAGAGCACTAGAAATGTGCTCCTTGTGAAGCACATTCCCAGCAGGATGTAAGCTTTGTTTTCTGCTCTGTGTTGCAAAGACTGGTGGAGAGGATGTCACTAGCTCTGAGGACTGCAGGTGAAGAGAGATGATTGCCAAGAGTCCTCTAAAGATGTGAGGGCTGGGAGAGCCCGTGAGACAAAGGGGGAGGAACTGAGACTCGAGAACAGACCTCAGACACACTGGAGGAAAAGGGGGCATATTCATGTACCAGCAGTGGACAGGGTGGGATTTGGATTAGACACTGGGAAGTGCTTTCTGATGAGGAGGCCATGGGGATACCGCTCCTGGGGCTGACAGGGTGACAGTGAAAGGTCAACAGCTTCCTCTCTGCCCGCAGGTCTGGAGAGAACAGGACAACTATGCACAAGTGTTACACCTTCCTCATCTTCATGGTTTTGCTGCTGCCATCACTGGGCCTGAGCAGGTAGGGCTGGAGGAGGGGGAAAAGCAATCGCAGGGACCTGGAGCATGGGGAGGGTTGAGATGCGCCCCTGGCTCTTCTCCTACGCTACTTCCTTTCCCTGCTGCAAAGTGCCATGGCCACCATCCCCTTGGGGAGGTGGCATTTAGTTCTGTTTGGGGGGCCAGGCCAGACCATACCTGGTTGGGTCCCTAGGAGCTTGTTGAATCAATCTGCAGGTGCACTGACATGTGCCTTGGTGTTACGAACAATGCAGCAAAAACTAGCATGGTTGGTGGACACATGTGAAAAGTCTGCTTGAGGTCTGCTGGTGAAGGAGGACCTCCCCACCTCTGTGCGCACTCTGAATTTTGTACAAAACTAGCAAATCCCCGTTTGAGCCAGAACTGAATAGGTTGCACTGCTTGGCTGGGTGGGATCGCTATGTGTACGCTGCAGAAATACTGATCCGGCTGGATGTAAGCCCCAAATCTTCCTGCAGGTATTATAGAAATGTCCTGTGGCAAACAGCGGTGCATCAGCTGCCAGCCATCGGCATGGGCTCCCAGCACTGAACAGTGGCCGAGTAGGGAAACAGTGTGAGGAAGGAAAAACTGGGAGGTGGGAGTGGGACAGGGGCTCCTTATTGTGGTAGGGAGTTACTTACAGATTGTGGGGTGGGGAATCTACACCCCGCTAAATTCAGGATTTGGGATACAGCCCCTCAGTGGCAAGTCAGGCAGCTCCTGAGAATAGACGAGTCCTCTGATAGAGGCAGAAGGATGAGTGACTACAGCAATGTTTCCCAGCCAGATTAAAAATGACTTGTTGCATATAACCTTATGACCTAGGCAGTTGAATGCTCTCGGAAGGTTTGCATTTTGACTGGATACCATTAAACAGACCACACTTCCTTCTGAGGACATAGTCCCGCTGCTGTTGCGTGTGGAGCTCTGTACTCCACCAGTACCCAAGGTGCTGGAGGATTGAACAGTTGTATATCAAAAAATCAGAATCGAGGAAAATGGGATTTGTTTCTCCTAAGAGACTTCTTAATCTCTGTGTTGGAAGGTGCTCTTTACCTAACCAGTTTCTTCCATAGAGTCAGTCACCTGTTCCTTGCATGAATGTCGTGGCCAAACAGCGGGGAGGGGAAATACTTTGGTAGGATCAGGGCAAAGGGAGAAGACGACGACACATGAGAGTGGGCAGCTTTATAGCCCTTTTTGGGTGCCGCAGTGCTTTTCCCAGTGTCTGATTTACATAATTGCTGGTGGCACATCCCAAGAGGGAACAAAACAGCCTATGGTCAGAGCTTTGGGTCTTTCTAGAGCAGCTTTCACATATTTGCATGTGCATGTCTGTATATCGCTGCTTCTGACTGTTCCTCTTTTCTTCTTGCTCCCCTCCCCCACAGCTTGGATGTGTTTTTCCGCTGGTTGTTTGACAAAAAATTCCTTGCCGAAGCCGCCGTGCGATTTGAGTAAGTGGAGCTGGGCAAAAGGCCCTTCTTCGCAATGGGGGGAGGTTCTTCTTGGCGTCCAAAGGTACTGGGGGCTCCCGGCTGCTGCCCTGCAAGGGGGGAGCACCTCCTGCAGCCTGCTCTCGCTACACTTCCCCAGATGTGTGTTCCTGCCGGACAACGGGGCCTTCTTCGTCAACTATGTCATTGCCTCTGCCTTCATCGGGAATGCCATGGACCTGCTGCGCATCCCTGGCTTGCTCATGTACATGATACGCCTCTGCCTGGCCCGCTCGGCCGCCGAGCGGAGGAATGTCAAGCGAGTATGTAGCGGGGACAGGTCGTGGCCTCTGCCCCAGGCTGGGAGCATTGCAGTGGGGCCTCCATGCTCGGGGGCTCACCCGATGCTGTGTGTGCAGCTGGGTGTGTCGCACACCCCTGCTGAGCTCCTGGGGTTGTGCTGACCGGTCTCTGCTCCCTCTTGCAGCACCAGGCCTACGAGTTCCAGTTTGGGGCTGCTTACGCCTGGATGATGTGTGTCTTCACTGTGGTCATGACGTACAGCATCACCTGCCCCATTATCGTCCCCTTCGGTAGGTGATACCCCTCTGCCTCCCCGCATCGGAGGCTGTGGGAGAACTCCGCGGGGGGAGGCCAGCAGGGTGGGGTGGGGGAGATATTCCCGGTACTGGGGGTACTGGGGCAGAGGTTGATTTCCCCTTTCTGCTGGCATCCCTCCCCTCTCTCCCAGGGCTCATGTACATGCTGCTTAAGCACCTGGTTGACCGATACAACCTGTATTATGCTTACCTGCCTGCCAAGCTGGACAAGAAAATCCATTCAGGGGCTGTGAACCAGGTGGTGGCAGCCCCCATCCTCTGCCTCTTCTGGCTTCTCTTTTTCTCCACCATGCGCACAGGTGAGCGCTGGGCTGGGATGCCATCCCCTGGCCTCCTACAGAGCCACTTCCCTGGCTGGGCTGTGGTCCTGGCAGCCCACGGCCATGGGGCACAATCAGGGTCCCTCCGACACCGCCACTTCGGTTTTTCTTTGTCCCAGGGTTCCTGGCACCCACTTCCATGTTCACCTTCGTGGTCCTCGTGATCACCATTGTGATCTGCCTGTGTCACGTCTGCTTTGGGCACTTCAAATACCTCAGCGCTCACAACTACAAGGTGAAGCGGAGTGCTGGGTGGGGGTGTGGGACCCTTCTCCTTGGGAGCACAGCTCAGCTGCAAAACAGCAGGGGCTCTGGGGGGGGGGGGGCCCGGCAGAGCCTTTCAACCCTGGCTTCATGGAGGAGACAGTCCCAAGGCTGTCCCTGCTGCCTGTATGCTGCTCCTGTGGCAGGACAGCAAATGTGTTGCCCCAGCAGTCTCTCAATTTCTCCTTTCCTCTTCAGATTGACCACACGGAGGTGGACACCATAGAAAACAGGCAGAATGGGAGACCTGCCACCAGTCTGCCAGCTCCCAAATCAGCTGTGAGTCCCTGTCCCCACCTCCATGCCCTGGCATGCTCCTTACCTGGGTTTGGGAAGGGGGAGGTAATTCCCTGTCCAAGTACCTCGCTCCTCACCTCTCTGAGGCAGCACCCAGAGTATCCCAGTGAGGCAAGTGTTGGGCACTGTGCCCCTCACTTGAGCTGGGTGATGAAGTGTAACACCCC